AGATGTGTAAGAAAATAAAAAAATAATATTATTTAAATAAGTATACTTATCTAAATAAATGTATTTATTTAATTTATGCCAAATAATGTATAGGTGTGATAGTGGACATACAAATACAACCCTGAAAAGTTCAGAACAAAGAATATATTCACAAAATTCTAATCCAAGTTTCTTTCGAATTCATACGTCATAAACTCTAATCATCTTAAAAGTATTCTTCACAAAACCAAATTGATTGTTAAAGGGGCACAATATATTACTTCAGTTTGTTGGACGAGGAACTGCCTACGCGCACAGCCTGAATTCCATCTTGAACAAATACCAATTTAAATATTAAATTTAAAAAATATATATCAATTTCTTTATCTGCAACACTCTTGCTTCCGCGACAGCATTAGGTGTTTGAGAAGAGATTTCAATTAAAATTGCGTGAATAAAATTAATTAAAATAATTAATAAAATAAAATGTCATATTTAGTTTAAGCTTTCCTCTTACACTCTCAAAATTAATTTTTTTATTCTATAGTTTTATAATTTATACAATTCCTTATTATCCTCCACTCTAACTTTTCTCCTCTTTCTTTTTACACCCAAAACCTTAAAAACCCTAACCCTAGTTTTCCCCATCACCACCACCACCTTCACCGGCTCACTACCGACGCTGCCACTCCACCACCCTTCGGCCTCACCGCTGCAACCATCACCACTATCACGACCATTTCTGTCTCGATTCTCACCGAGACTACGGCAATATCCACATCGATTCATGGGTATCAATCGTTTTGAAGCTCAAGGTCCAAGAACTCACCCTGTTCTTCGAAAAAACCAATTGTGGGGTTTCAATTCGTGGTATTTTCCCTTGCACAACGCTTGTTCATTTGTTATTGAGTCAATACCATGTTCTTAATATTCCGAGCTCGGTTGTTTGCCCAATCTCAAGAGTCTGTTTTTGGATTCTATTCAATTCGCCCATGGTGATTCTCTGGCTACCCTGTTCTTGAAGAATTAAGTCTGGAATGTGTAAATTTGATGATATTGAGGTTCTTCACATCAATTAGCCTCTTGTTAAGCTTTTGATGATGCATAATTGCCACAATGAAAGTCAATTTGAGTTGGTGCTTGATGTCCCAAAACTTGAATGACTCCATTACAATGATTTTGAAGCAGAAGGGCATAAGGTGAAGAATCTGAAAGAAGGTGAGAGAAGATGGCGGTTGGAGGTGATGGTGAGAGAGAATTAGGGTTAAGCTTTTTAAGTTTTGGGCGTAAGGAGAGAGAAAAATTAGGAATGAGGATAATAAATGAATTATAAAAATTATAAAATAAAAAATAAAAAAAAATTAATTTTGAGAGTGTAAGGAGTTAAATTGGTGGTGTAGGCAGAATTTTCCAATTTTTATTTATTTATTTATTTATTTTCATTACAATTCTATTCTGTCATAAATTTACCTAAAAATCACTCCGAAATTGCAAAACTGAAAGTAGGGCTGAGCAAGGAATCCGTGAAATCCGTAATCCGATCCAGTCCAGTCCAATCCAGTAGGTTTGGATTGGTTTTTTGAATCCGTGGTTTGGTTCCGGATTGAAAAATTAAAAATCCGTAGTTCACGGATTGGTTCCGGATTGAATCCCACGGTTCCGGATTGGAACCGATCCGGACCGTATACAAATAGTCTATATTTTTATTATACACCCTCCTGCATAGTATCTTCTCTTATTTCATATAAAACTTAAATCCAAACCTAAATTTGCATAGTATCTTCTTTTATTACTTTTGTTTGCTAGTTTTTAGTGTTAATTTATAATGGTCTAAATACTTATGGTGGAACTAGTTTCTTTATGGTTGTTTAAATTCTAGAACAGTTTGTCGCTATTATGAAAAGACATATTGCTATTGTGAAACTAATATGATGCTATATTTATATTTTTATGAAAATAAAGTGTTATATATATATTTTTGTTATTTAATTATATAAATCCGTGGTCCTAAACCGATCCAATCCGTATTTAAATGGATTGGTTCGGATTGGTTCTACGATTTAAACGGATTGGATTGGTTCCAATTTTTCAGGATCCATAAATAACGGATTGATTCTGGTTTCACTCCAATCCGGTCCAATCCGGACCATGCTCACCCCTAACTGAAAGTACTAGCATAATGGCTACTTCAGCATGTTTAAGGGCACATTAAAGAAAAGAAAATTTATAATTTTTAAAGTAATGTTATTCAAACTAAAAAATTTAATTTATTTTTTAAATTTAATGATTAATTAATCAATCGGTCTCATGTGTCATTTTTTTTTTCTCTTCTATTTTCTAATTATCAACCATTGTCTCTCTTTACACGCAACATTGAATTTTAAAAAATAAGTCTAAAAACTGAATTTGTATATTATTTTTTTTCGTATTTTTTGTTATATCATTCAACTTTCATTAAATAAATTTCACTTTGACAAGAGAACTACATTAATATTTAAGTTGAATTCAAATGTCTTAATTGTTACAATTACAAGATGAACAAAGGAGCGAAAAAAATAATTTTAAAATTCAAGTGAAAGTTAAAAATTAAAAATTATAATTTATTCTACTATAAAAGACAGTGATGTGGAGGTTGGATTATCTCTTTACTTCTTGAAAGTTTAAGATATAAATCGCTTTTGTCTAATCGTTGGCTAAAAGGAGCTTTGAATATCCAAAGAGAGATCTTTGATCAAACTTTGGATGATTACTACTGGCATATTAAAAAATTATGTTTTTAACATTAAATAGAATGAGTTGTGATCCGCTCTATTGGTTATTCAAAACTGCCAACTGCAATGGGAACAAGGTCAAAAATTGGGATCAACTTTATTTATTTTTAAATGAAAATAAAGATTATGATTGAGATAAGTTAATTAAATTCAAATTCTTTCTTTACCCTAATTATCAATTAACATATATAGCTTGGATGACAGTTGACTCCGTCAAGAAAATTGAGGATTCAAATAGGAGGACGATTACTTGTTCAAAAGAAGAGAGGAGAATTTTGACTAGGGCAACCCTGGACGAAGACGTGTAAGGCGGCAGTCTTGAGCTCTGAATTAATTTTTACTTCTATGGTCTTAGTACACTTAAAATAAAGGTCCAAACTAACTAATATTACTTCACAATTCAAATTAAAGGTGCTCACAAATTATATATAAACTTATTTAGTAAATTTACTATTAATAATGTCAGAACAGTAATATTTAATGTCACATTTTACTGTAGCTGTTTACTTTTTTATTTTTTTAATATTTTTATATTTTTTTAATAGATTGGGTGATTTTTTTTCCTTATTCTAAATTGAATTTTCTAAATTATAAAGCAACAAGATCAAAATTTTATATTTTTAAGTTTGTATTAATTTTCTTCATGTCTTAGTTTGTGTAAATAAATTTTAATAATTATATATGCAAGCATATTTGGTGTTAATACTAGTGTACACACAAAATTCGTGTTCACAAAATTGTAGTAACCAAGATTCAACTTTATTGATTTTGAATAAAGCGAGTACAATCTCTGATAAATTTCTAATGATAGAAAACTAATAATAATCTGATTCTTCTTCTCAAAAGGTTGACTTAAGTGCAGTGTACTCCCGAATCAAATGGCAAAATCCTCTCCAAACAGAGCAAAGAAGATGGAAACGAAATCAATTGACTCACGGGCTTAATAGCTTGATCCCTAAACAAACGGCAAAAGCTTCTCTAAGTTAATAGAAGAAGATGGTGACGAGACTTGGACGATGAAGTTCTTCAGACCAAAAGCTTTGATCTGTAGAGCTTCCTCTTGCTTGATGTATGTAGAATGTATGTATGTATGTATGTATGTATGTATGTATCTCCAATTTGATTCTAGGTCACCCTTATTTATAGGCATGGGTGCACTACAGGAATTTACACAATTGCCGACCACTTTTGCCGACCAAAAAAATTTCGGTCGCCAAAAAATGACATTTGGCGGCCAAATATTAATTAGTCGCGAATGATCATTATTTTTGGCGACCAAATATTATTGGTCGCAAAAGGTTATATTTTGGCAACCAAAAAATGAGTTGGTCGTAGAAAGTGGTATACTTTTGCCGACCAACTACAAATTTGGTTGCGGAAGGTCACATATTTTTTGGCGACCAAAAATTTGGTTGCCAAAAACTTATTTTCAGCAACAAAAAAAAATTAGTCGCCAAATCAGTACTTTTAGCGACTAATATTTTAGTCGCCGTTGATTGAGATTTGGCGACTAAAAAATTTTGTCGGCGAAGGTACATTTTCTGCGACTAATATGGTCTTTTGGTCGCCAAAAGTTTGGGAGGGAAATTTGATTTTCAGTGGGGCGGGATTTGAATTTTCTTTCTCTCAATCGGTGCCCACTCTCTCTACCAAGCCTCACTGCCAAGTCTCAGCCTTTCTTTCTCTCTTTCTATCTATCTAAGAATCCTCCTCCACATCTTCTCTTTCTCTCTCTCAAAAAACCCCCATATTCAGTTTTGTATGGCAGTTCGCTTGCTAGCATACGAGGTAGCTGACCTCTGCCTAGGCAAGCTGCCTCTCAAATCTCTCTCAATCTCCGCCACCGTGGCCGACGCCTTGTCCGCCCTCAAATCCTCCTCCGACACCTGCCTCAGCGTATGGACCTGTGACCACTCCAAATCCGCCGCCGAGGAGTGTCGCTGTGTCGGAAAAGTCTGCATGGTCGATGTCATTTGCTACCTCTGCAAAGACGAAAACCTCTCTTCTCCTTCCTCTGCTCTCAAATCCCCTGTTTCTGTCTTGCTCCCCAAACTTCCTGGTCTCGTCAGGCACGTCGAACCCTCTTCCAGGTAACCCATTAACATTTCAATTTTAATCTGTTTTTGTTTGTATTTGCTTTTGTAGATTGCTTGATGATAGGTTTTTCAATGTGTAGAGGGTTTTCTCTAATGTCCTCTACATGTTCGATAAATTGCCTCAAAGAATTGACTCCACAATTCCGAGGTCGATCTGGGTCAGGTGGTCGTGGAGGAAGGGGAGGCAGAGGCCAAAATCCTCTGGCCCTGAATCCTGAGTTGAATGTGGTTTCAACTGTAGACAATGTGGCTCCTGATAAGTCATGGGCTTCTATTTCTGATCTCTCTTGCTCTGTCTTTCTGGTATGTGTGTTTCTGGTTTGTGTGTGCGCGTCTCTCTCTCTCTCTCTCTCCATCTATTTCTGATCTCTCTCGCTCTGCCTTTATGTCAACTTTCTTTTGTTCTTTTAGGGCTTAATTGATTGATGTTAATTTTTTTTAATGAGAATTTGATACGCTAAATAAGAGATTTTCATTGATGGGTGGTTCAGGGAAATGGGTTATGTTGAAATTGGGTTATATAGTATATTCACCAAGTGTTTGATAAAATGTCAAAGTGAAAAACCTTCAATTGATTAGTCTTACAGTTCATGTGCATGAAGTTGTTGCTAGGGCTCTAAATTTTGTCAAATTTTAATTGCAGATTAAGCATACTATTTGTTCGGATTGGTTGTTCTACTTTTCGCTCTCCTGGTAATCCTAATTGCGCTTTTAACCTTGAATTGATTTAAAAGTTTTAATTTTGTATTATAAATCTAAGAGGACACTGCATTTGCCCAAACTGTTTAGCTGATGATCTCAGGTTTAACTTGTAAATGCTGCTGATTAGAAGTTCAAAATTAAACATTCAATTTTGAACGTCTAAATATGAAGTTAGAGGTTAGAAGATGCATAAGAAATGGGAGGGGTTTTCAATATAAGGCACAATATGCTGCTGAAGTGACAAGCGATTTCGTTTAGATTTGAGAAGCAATTGTGTTGTACATTGGCTGTATAAGTGTTGCTTCGATAGAATCTTTTAAAAAAAAAAAAAATTGTGGTATGCATTTTTGGATAGGGACCTTTATGATTATGATTTCTAACAAACTATATTGAAACTGATTTGGTGGGTCTTGCTATATTTTTAAACGATGTCCAAACCTTCAGACGTTGATCATGGATCATGATGCAACAGGTCAATATGTGAGTATCTAGACAACCATTCTAGCCTCTTCCAAATTGTTGCTTCTTAAATTTTAGCTGGTTTCAAGTGAATTTTTGTTTCAATTGTCAGGAGACACTCTCACAGGAGTTACAATGGAAAGAAATTTGGTGTTGCTTTCCAAGTTTGAAAAAATTATCATTTAAAAACTTCAAGGTAACAGCCTTCCAATTGTATTTGTTAATGTTGTTGACGAATCAAGGACCAGTCCTAGAGGAGGTTCTTGTGGAACTGAGAATGTGAGACCTCATCGACAAACTGTCCAAGTATGTCTCTCTCAGTAGTTCTAAGAAACTAAGAGTTTACCCTTCATTTTGATCAATTATAATGATGACAAATTGGAGACTGAGTTTGTCTTTAATTTTGATGAATTATAATGTTTGTATGGATAATTTAGCTTTTATTTTGTTACTTCCTAATGCTTACAGTTGTTTTGCTACTTTTGTTGCTACTTGTTGCCATGCATATTTTTTGAAATCATATATATGTGACCTCTTAATATTTAATGTTTGGCCACAGTTTATTTAACTCGTGGAATTACCCATTTATTTTTATTTTTTTTCAAATAACCAAATATTCCTTACATAGTCTTGGCCATTTTGCATTTTATCTCGCTACACTTAAATGGTTCCATTTATAAAGTTTATATACTGTTTATCCTGTTTAAATACTTTAATAAAAATAAAATAAAAGATAATATTTAATTCTTTAACTATTGCATGAAATGCTAATCTTTATTTGTTTTTAAAGATGAAATGTCATCTATGAGCAAGTTTTTATCTTAGGCATTAATTAGTTTTTACTTTTAATTAATACATGGGTGAAATTATAATTCTAGCAGACGGAGTAAACAATACTAGTCATTATCATTTTTTTCTTATTTTTTATTGAAATAACTACACTGTTTTTAGCAGAAAAGAGTAAACACAAGTATTGTAGGTGGTTGTAATGGTCTGTTTCTTTATAAAGAATGGAGCTGTTACTGTCCAGGTGTCGTGTCTGCCTGCTGTTACTGTCTATAAATTCTACAGGATTGTGATGTGTATGCTTTAGTTTAGCTTCTATGAGTAGCTGCCCAGGTGCCGTGTGTGAGTGTGTCTCTGCCTTGCTGCTGTTGATTCTGCCTTGCTGCTGCTAGCTCTGTTTGCTGGCTGTTTAGCAACTGTCTAGGTGTTATTTGTGAGTGTGTATCGCTGTTTCTGTACCTATTGCCTCACATGTACTGTGGCCATTTTTGTAGGGGTTGTTTTTGTTTGTTGGGTTTTAGTTGGTTTTATTTTCTTCTGTTGGTTTTGTCATTTTTATTTTTATTTTTTTTGCTGGGTTGTTTTGTCATGTTTGGGCTTGGGGCATGCCCCCTTGTAATCTTGTATTTTTTCCTGTTTTAATTTATGATTTATTCATCCAAAAAAAAAAAAGAAGAAAAAAGTTTTGGGTTTAGGGGAAACACCAACATCGTCATGCATAACAAAGTCTATTTATTTCTTTATAATAACTGTTAGTTAATTAATATATACAATATAGTAACATCACATAATATTGTGTTCTTGTTATTTAATTATTATATAATACTACTACTACTATATTATTGCTACGTTAATGTTCTATCCATTATTATAGGTATTATCATTATGCCATGCCACTGATTTGAGCACGAACTTCTTAAATTAATAGCGTCTGAAAAAGCTAATGCTGTAAAATTGCTTATTTGACTATAAGTCTAGGACACTTGAACAGATAAAAACTCTCTTTTTATTGGATGATGGAAAAATAAATTAGTTTTTCTAATTATAAAATTTTGATACATGATCACAATTGTATAGTGTTGTGTTAGAGAACTATACAATTTTTTGAAACTCTTGTTTTACATCATTCTCTCCCTTTAGGAAAAAAAAACCTCACCCTTGATTTACTATGAATCGAAACTTCATACGTTTGAGCTTGTCTGCATCTATCTTATAGTTAAGGATAATCTTTTCACATACTTGACTTTGGAAAAGTGTAACTCCTCTTGGGATGATTGTTGAATGCATATGTCACATAAAGGATACTTGCTCCCATCTATGTGCATTCTCTCTTAGTTCTTTTAGGAAATAACAATTCCTTGAATTCTTAAATTACTTAAGCAAGGAATTTTGGCATCTTCTTAAAAACCCTTCTTTTCATTAGTTCGGTCAAGGTCGTACACTTTAGTAGGACAAGGAAAATAACTAAGAGCATAGTCAAAAAGTGGTTGCACACCTTTGTTTTTAATTGCACTGCCCAATAATACAAGAACAAACTTCTGCGCTGTGGTAGCCCTCCGATTTTCCTCTGTTATTAAGTTAAGCCATCAGTTGGTGAATAATTTGAACTACATAATTTGATCTCATCTTGCAATTTGACAAATTTTTTTTTTTTTTGTTTGACGAATCTTCACTTTCTGTAACAAGACTTCCAACTTTTGCAATAATGTCTTGGATTTTTTCTTGGTATACTTTCAAGACTTTTTCTTCATTTATTTCTTGGGCACGAGACAATATAGATTTGTCTTCAAACGTGAGCCCTTCAAGGATAGTTTCGACATAAGTATTAATAGTATGGTGCTTAGGCTTGTATTTTTCCTCCAATAATTGCTCATAATTCCATGGCAAAAAAATCTCCATTATATGCCTTTTCATTCTTGACCATGAAGGAATACGCACCTTGCCTTGTTGCTCTCTTGATGATTGCAAATCTAACTATCACCAAAGTGCAGGACCTGTAAGCTTTAATAACACATACCTCTACTTTTATTTGTTTGGAATTTTCATATTTTCAATATATAAATATATATATCTAGTATCCAATCTAGAATATCTTAAAATATTCACCACCACTAAATTTAGGTAAACTTTCATGATACCTATAATCTTGATGATAAGAAAAGTCCACGAGCTTGGGTTACGACCTGTCCGAAGGCAACCATGGTTATGAACTGCCCCTCGGGGAAGACCTCGTTCTGACACCAATTGACACAGTGGTAATGGAGGAAGGAACTAATTATTGGTCTAGTAGACAACATGGGCTTGATATCATTTTAGATTAGATGTGATTTATTGAATCCATAGGAACAACCCTGAATCCACAAGGACAATAAAATAGAAACTCTTTGAAAATAATGTTGATTAAAAGAATAAGTTACTCATGCCTGTAGGCTCCTATGTCAGTTGAGCAAAGTTTCATCTTTTATTCTCGCTAGTGTGAAATCTATGAGTTTGACTGAGGTTGGGTTGTACGGGATGAGGGGTGCTTGATTGGGTTGGTTTTCTTTCCAAATTTTGATGTACAGGATGGATGGGATGAGGCTTCAAACATGGCATCAAAGACTTTTTGAAAATCAATGTATAGACCAGTAATTGCGTAGTGCAGTAAGTATAGATCAGAGCAGGCACAACATCACCTATAATCTACAATTTATCCTTTCTTACTGTTATCCTTTCCTACTGTTGCTTTAAATTTGATGCTCTATGTCAAAGCCAGAAAGGACATTATTAAGGTTCATGATTTTCATAAAGGTATTAACATCTTCATGATTTGACTGTTGTTTGGCAGTCATGATTGGTATGTAATGAGGTGTAATTGAAAAGACTCTTACTTTTTGCCAAATGATGTTTCTGGTCTCTAAAAGAATATTCAGTTAATGCTAATTACTACACAATTTTTTAATACTATGTTGTAGGAATTACCTGGTGTCTGGAGTCAGCAAGCAGATCCAAGTCAATAGAGCAGCACCTATTATGGTTACGGACAAGGTTATGATGCCTATGGTTATGGGACTACACATGATCCTTCATTATATGCCTATGGTACATACCCTGGTTACGCGCAGTACCCTTAATAGGTATGACGCTTTTAAAGAACATTGTTTTTTCCCTTTTGCTGGATGTGCTGTCCAGATTGCAATCTAGATAACATACAACTGGACTGTTTTTTGATGCCTTATTTGTAGGAAAGTTAAAAAAAAAAAAAATCATTTATTATATGCTTAGTTGTGGAACAATTAAAAGCATTGTAGGACACAGACCAAAACTATTAAATCTTGTTTTTCCTCGCATTTTGTGATGAGGATATTTGAAGGAGAAAAGGAACTGTTCAACTCAGGATTGAGAATTTTTTTTAGATATTGGATGGCCGGAGCCAAAAAAAAAGGGGAAACAAAAACAACTAAAAGAGGGGCTGTTATCTCAGTATTTGCGACCTGATTGATAGATGAGGAAATAGCTTCCTTGGCCAACAGATTTGTGCATCTGTTAGCTTCTCTCCAAACCAACACCAGCTGACACTGCCGTTCTTTATGCACGAGCTCTGCAATGTTATTGCAAATATTTAATTGGGTTTCATCAAGCTATGTTTCAAATTGTTATGTTTTGAATTGTTATGCTAACCAACACCAGCTGACACTGCCGTTCTTTATGCACGAGCTCTGCAATGTTATTGCAAATATTTAATTATGTTTCAAATTGCTATGTTTCAAATTGTTATGTTTCAAATTGTTATGCTAGATATATGTGACCTGTAAATGAAAACTTAGAATAGTTGTATTGTGTCGAATGTTAATGAATTATGTATTATGTCGAATGTTAATGATTAAGTTAATTTGAATGATGCATTAAAATTATAGGTTTATTATGGATTGAATGAATTATTAGGAATTACAAGTGTATTGTTTTCCTGCTTTGACGACCAATTTTTTAGTCGCGACAAATGATGCATTAAAATTATAGGTTTATTATGGATTGAATGAATTATTAGGAATTGCAGGTGTATTGTTTTCCTGCTTTGGCAACTAATTTATTAGTCGCGACATCCAAAATAAGATTGTATCCAAAATGGGATGGCTCAAGAATTTCCTACCTTGAGCAATACTACAGGGCTAGTAAGATTGTATGTTTGATGATTATATAATTTATAATGTTCAATATTTATAGTGTGTACAGGTGAGTTTCATCCTGAGTTTAATTTTATTCATTTTTTTCGTATTTAGGGTTTTGAGAAACTGTAACATGTCTGGTGAAATCCCGAAATATATTTGGAAAATGATGAATCTGCAAATGTTGTAAGTAAAGCATGTTAAGCTTTGGTGAATGATTTTTATTTGACCTTCAGTGTTTTCATCAATGTATAATTAATTACACGACCAAAGCGATTTAATTTTCCATCCTGTTATTGTTATTGCTGTTAGTTTTTTTCACTGTCAAGGCACAAAAAGGACAAATCACAGCTCATTTATATGACAGCGCTTATTGAATTCTGTTCACAAATAGTATATAATTTTTTATCATCATGCAGGTAGATTCTGTAGTTTACCTTGTTGACGCGTACGACAAAGAGAGATTTGCAGAGGCCAAAAAGGAGCTGGATGCCCTACATAAAAAAGAACAACAATACTCAACCTTGTTAACATCATATGTTCTTTTTTTTTAAATTGATGCTGATTATGTTAAATTTTTGTTGGAATGAATTTTTTTTTGTTTTTTGGGGTTTAGAATAGGGTTTTGTGAATTGTTCCTTGTTTTTAGAATCAATGTTGCTGCTGCTGAGTTATGTGTTGAAACTTGGATATAGAAAATTTTATAATAAGACCTGTTTTGATTATGAATTTGTCCTATTTTGATTATGAATTCGCTAAATATTACAGGTGTATTGTTTTCCTACTTTGGCAACCAATTTATTAGTCGTGACCAATAAATTATTTTTTTTCGCAAAAAATGACAATTGCCGACCAAGAGTGTAAGAACCCACATTTTATGTCCTCATCATGTTCATGAGCTTTGTTGGTCGTGGAAACTCACTTTTGCCTACCAACAGTTTTGGTTGCGAAAAGTAACAAAGTTTGGTCGCACAATGCCACAATTAGCGACCAAAATTTCTGGTCGCGAAATGTCACAATTGGCGACCAAACTTTTTGGTCGTGAAATGTGTCAATTGGTGACTAAGAAATTTGGTCGGAAAAAGGCGACTTTTCGCGACCAAAGTGTTTTAGCGACAAAATGAATTAGTCGCGGTAATTAAATATTTAGCGACCAAAAATTTAGTCGGCAAATCCAACTTTTGCCGACCAATGAAATTTTGATCGCGAATTACTTTTGCCGACCCTCAATTGGCGACCAAACTAGCGACTAAAAAAATTGGTCGCGGATAACTTTTGCAGACCAAAAATAGACTTTTAGCGACCAATTTTTTTGTTGCTAAAAATGTTAATTGTTGTAGTGATTACTTGATAAGGGTTTCATTTCATCCCTAAGACAAGGAAGTTAGTTCCACGTACTCATGGAACTACCACTCTAAAAAATATACATTTTAAACTCTCCCACTCTCCTTTTGTTTCTTTCTCTCTTCTCTTTCTTTCATTTCTTGTCTGACCTTCCTCTCCTTTTTGAGTTCGTTTTCTAAAGCAAATCCAACTTTTGCCGACCAACGAAAATTTTGGTCGTGAATTACTTTTGCCGACCCTCAATTGGCGACCAAACTAGCGACTAAAAAAATTGGTCGCGGATAACTTTTGCCGACCAAAAATAAACTTTTAGCAACCAATTTTTTTGTTGCTAAAAGTGTTAATTGTTGTAGTGGTGGAGAGGAGTCTTAATGAAGATAGACTTTGTTTAATAATTATCTCTTTATTTTATTTATTTAAAGAGATAAAAATTAATAATTACTTGAAGACATGTAGTTCAATTTGATGGGAGGAAATATTTATTTCCTTTTCCTACAAGTCCATGTAGCTTGTGGCTTATTTTGATTGGTCTAAAGGTTGTCATCTTGAAGACTGTATCACTTTGATATGTGGCAACTTGTGATTTGACCATTCGTGTATATAGAATTAAAACCTTTGGACACTAGGTAGCATTTTGTTTACTAATAATTGTCATATTTTTTAGGTCTTTATAACACGTGACAATTTATAATTGGCTAAAATTTTGCATGCTTACAAATGCCCTCTCAAGACTTGCTTCTGTACACATTCCAGAATTGTGAAATGTGAGCGAGCCTTGAAATATAATTTCTTTTGTAACCCCAACATACCTTTTGTTTAGTAATAATACATGAAAATTTGTACATGAATAATACTAGATATGGCCATAGTCGGTTACTTAATTCCATCTTGCCTTTGTCAATTAGAATTCAATCAAATTTACAATCCAAGTCCACCAAGTAAATGGTTTTGTTTCCTAATCCATGTATGATTTGGGATTAGAAAATTCCGCTTCTATACTTCTCTATAAATTGGGGATTATTGTAGCATAAATTCTGTATAGCCGCAAGGAGTCAATAATCGGCGAATTCGAGCATCGCAATCATCCAATTCTACATTGTCAGGTATGCATATTATTTTATTTACTTTGCTTTGTTCAACTGATGCACCTGCCAGTATATAGAATACCCACTTCGTATAAACAACCATTATTTATTTGTTGTAAAAGAAAAAGAACCCATGTGATATTCTGACCTCATTAATCCTGGCCTAAGGGGAACAAACAAGATATCTTTGCACACTACAACAAAAACATACTTTCGTGGCACTACACTAGTGGCATATTTTTAGAAAATGTCACAGAAAATGATATTTAGTGGCACGTTTTTGAAAAATGCCACAAAACGACAAACATAAAAGGCTCTAGTGACATTTCAATGAACAAATGTCATAACACTACAACAAAAACATATTTTAGTGACACCATACTAGTGACATGTTCTTAAAAAATGTCACAAAAAGTATATTTGGTGGCATTTTTTAGAAAAATGTCATAGAGCCACAAACATACAAGGCTCTAGTGGCAATTCAATTAAAAAAAGTGTCACTTCAGTACAACATAAATGTCACTACAACAAATTTACACTTTAGTGACACTACACTAGTAGCATGTTTTTGGAAAATGCCACAAAAATAAAAATTGACATTAAATGTTTTAGAAAAATGCCACAGAACCACAAAACATATAAGGCTCTAGTGGCATTTCAATAAAGAAATGTCACATCAATTTTATGACATTTTATAAAATAATGACACAAAAAATTATGTTCGTGACATTTACCAACAGATGCCACTAAACTTTAGCTGCAATGGCATTTTTTAAAAAATGTCAGGACACTAGGTAGGTGCAAATTACTTTTCATGGCACTTAGGTGAAAAGTGTCATAAACAAATATTTTATAGCATTTTGAGAAATGCCACTAAGCCAAAAAATTTCCAAGCTTATAATGGCATTTTTTAAAAAACAAAAAATGCCAATATATTTTCTAAATTTTTAAAATGCAGTAAATGATTAAAAATAAATGAATTAAACTCAATATACACTACAGGAAAAAGCATATTCGGCGACTAAATTTCTTGACCAAAAAAATTTGGTTGCTGAAAGTATAGCTTTCAGCGACCAAAACAGCATTAGTTGCCAAAAGTAAAGTTTTTTTGCCCCCTCAAAAAAATTTTAGTAGCCAAAAGTCTATAATTGGCGACTAAAAAATAAGTTTAGTCGCCAAAAGTGGTCATTTTTAGCGCGGGAGAACTAAAATCCTAAAGCGGGAATAAAAATTTTTGGTGACCAAAATTTTGGTAGCTGAAAGTGCATCTTCGGCGACCAAATCCGATTTTGGTCGACAAAAGTTAAGTTTTTTAGCAACTAAAAAACAATTAGTAGCCAAAAGTATAGAATTTTTTTAGTCGCCAAAAGTGGTCTTTTTTTTTTATTTTGGTAGTAAATAGTTTATTTTACATAAATTATGTTCAATAAAATAATTATGTTTATACATATACTTTTATATTAATATGGATGTATGTACTATATAAATAATATATGTTGCATATATAATCATGTGGTGCTATAGAGGTGTTGTGGGAAGAGTGTGGTGTATAAGGTTTATGGTGCGGAAGGTTGGCGGTTCGAGTCTCCGCAAGAGCGGATCAAATTGTTCTACAACGAATTATCATCATGAATAACACTTGATAGCGTCACGAATAGTGTCTACCATGACATTAAAGTGTCACTGAAAGGTTTTAGCCTTGATGGTGTAATGACACTTACAAGTGTCACTAACTCTTTTTTTAATGGCGCTTGATAGTGCCACAAATAATATCTACCATGACATTAAATGTCATTGAAAGTTTTTAGCCATGATGGTGCAGTGGCACTTGCAAGTATCTACCGTGGCACCGATAGATGTGGCACTTGTTCAAAATGCCACAAGATCAAAAAATGTCATTAGAAGAATAGTTTTGTGGCACTTTCAAATGTCACTAAACTAAGAAAATATTGTAGTGGCATCAAGTTGAATGAAAGTAGTTGCTGGCCATATATTTTGTATTAGTCAATCATAGCTTAACACGTAATCTATCAGGGGTAACTTGATAAATTAGTAAATGTCTCCAATCATCAGAGGACACATGACAAATCATATTAATGGCAATGGATCTGCGAAGTACTAGAACAAACAAAAGGAGTGAGGTGACGTGGCTAAACGGTTCTTGAAGATTTAAATTCAAATTCAGGAGGGAAGTCCAACTGCAAGAGATGGCTTGTGGAGGAAAAATTGCTTGGAGCCATGATCATAGAGGTTACTTCGACAGTTATCATCCACTGTGACAGTTATCAGCCATTTCGACGGTTACTACCAGGACCTATAAATAGAGAGGAAAACTGATAATGAAGGGACCCAAAACCAAATCTAGAAACCAGTTTATTTACTTTATATTTTTCATTCTAGTTCTTATCATTCTAGTTCTTTACTTTCCCTCACTGCAATTTCAGTTTCATAGGAGTAGTTCTAAATTAGTTTGTTCGTTATTGTAATTCACTTCGAAGCTGTGGAAGTATGAAGGTACTACTGTAAACATTTGTTTACTTAATAAAAATTCAATTTCTGACACTGTGGAAGTATGAAGGTACTACTGTAAACATTTGATTAAATACGAACTGCATATATGTGTTTGAAACTTATGTAGATAGTTTGATTCTTGTCTCATATCTCTCTTCTTGGAAGATATTGCAAAGCTCTCTTCTAGTTCCTCTTTTGTAGCATGGAAATGGATGTTTCATCCATGTTCCATGAGTAGGAAAATGAGCTTGCAATCATCTCTCCATAGCTTTCATTTCTTGCTTTTACTTAGTTTAGTTTTGTTTTTCCTCTAAAACTACATGAGTGCTTTTTTCATCAAGACCATTAGAGACTCTCTTCTAGTTCCTTTGAAGCATGGAAATGGAGGTTTCAATCCATCTTCCATGAGTTGGAAGAAGAGTCTCCTTGGTTTTCTTAATGATGGAACCTCTTGTGTATGAACTTTGTCTCCAAGAATGGCTCCTTCTAAACCTGTTCTCTCTAAGCTTGAGTATTCACTTGCTCTTGTTTTCCATGAGATTCAGTGGGTTTTTGGCCATATCTTTGATTGTATCTTTTATAATTAGTTTTAGTTAGCTTTGTATCCATTAATTACCTTCCCGTTGCTCCACTAATCATCATTTAAATACTCTTGGGATGTTTGATGATTTGTGAAGCAAACCTACTCTCTCGTTGAGACTTTTTCATGAAAGAAGGAAGAATGAAGGATGAACATTGTAACCAGCCCGCGGGGGACCTCGCTACAGCTCGGACTCGATTTGTA